TATGACTTTGATTATATCTTGAGGCTAAATCTTGTCCCTGGAGAAATACATCTCTAAACTTATATAATTGGGAAATTTTAATTTGATTTATTAAAAATGATTTAAAATAACTTTAAACTGAGAAGTTTAACCTAATCAAAGACTATAGGATACCTGAAAGCAGTTTATAGAGGAAAGATGTATCATAAACAACACTATAAAATTATTGATTGGATATGATTTCAAGCTCTGCCAATAAACAAACAATGACTTTGGGCAAGTATTTTATGAATATTCTGATCCTCATATTACTGTTTTGAAAACAAAGGATAAAACTGAATAACAGAATCTCTAAGGTTATCAACTGATTCATAAATGCTCATGAACTGTGTTTAAAATGGACTCCTTTGCTATGAGAGAATTAGCATTTAGCATTCCTTACAGTACAATTATACTTTCAAATCAGTACAGAAAAGGACTTCTGAATGGAAATACCCATCTTTGGACAAACAGCATTACGTATTGAGAGAGAAGAACTGACTTTAAAACATGTACCTTAACAAGCTTGAAAACAAATATAAATCCAATAATTTTCAATATCCACGTAAAGCAAAATTTTTTTGAAGATTATTGTTGATCATTGTCTATTCTAAGTTCCTTTTTAACATAAATCTAAATCTCATTATATTTTATTACTATTATTATTTTTTTTGGAGTTCTAGGGATTGAAAACAGGGCTGTGTTAGTTACTTTTCTCATTGCTGAGACAAAATATCCAACACCCAAAGTTAACAGAGGGAAGGTTTATGTGGTTCACAGTTTGTAGAGATTTGAATCCATAATTGGCTGACTCCAAGGCAGGGTGGCATAGTAGACAGGCATTACAGAGGAGAAACAGTTCACAGAGGGCAGAAGATAGCAAAGCAAGCAAGCAAGGGACAAGACAAGCCTCTTTCTGTTCATTAGATTATATCCAGGCTACTGAGACTAAGGTGGTACCAAACCAATGAGTGGACTGATTTATTAATCACCCACCCTTAATCCTAGCACTGTTAAGTCTAGCATTGCACAGTGAATCAATCACACATTAGATTCAGTCACTTCTGAAAAAGCCCCACCTTTGACTGCATGGTGCTTTGCGGGGGGGGGCATCTAAATGCAAGCCATAACAAGGGCCTAACACATGGTAGACAAGAGCTCTACATGGTGCTACATCTCCAGCCCGCTATTTTAAAATTTAAAAGGAAAAAGATGACCACTATAAAAATGACTAAATGAACATTTTAAGAATATATACATCATAAAATTTACTTCTGCAAACTTTTCAAAAAGTAAAATAAAGTTTATAATATAATACATGGACTAGGAACATAGCTCAGTGCTGGAGGACTTGCCTACCATGGAAGAGGGCTTGGATTCATTTTTTATCATCATCAAAAAATGAAATAAAATATAATACTTTTTCCATTAATAAATATTCTATTATATTAATACAGGTTTTGAAGAATCAAAATAAGAATTGGAAAAACTTTATAAGACTTAAAAGAAAAGGGGGCTGGGGATTTAGCTCAGTGGTTCTGCCGCCTGCCTCACAAGCACAAGGTCCCAAGTTTGATCCCCAGAACCAAAAAAAAGGGGACAAGATTGTTATCTTCAAAGAATTAGATTTACTCTGTATTGTCAGTACAGAATTAAAGGGAAGTAAATTTCAATTTTACATAAAAGAAGGCATTTCTAAAGATTTGTAGCTATTTAACTAGTAGAACTCACCAGCTGTCTTTTTGTGTTGTATTTATGTATTTTTATTAGTATTGTTCACAGTACATAATGTTTACATGACTTGTGTGGAGTTGGTACATGACACATTAGTAGATGTTTTTATATTGGGCCTAGATGATCTTCTATTCAGAATGGCATAAGAAGTCTACATACTTAGGTAAGAAGTTTTATCATATAACTGCTAAAGTTCAATTAACTCTAAAGATTATTTTAGCTGCCCAAATAATACTCTTAGTGTACAGATACTTTAAATGGGAATTGCTCAACGTATGATACAACCATTTGTATCAGAATCACCTGGTGATGTTCTTTTAAAAATATATATTCCTCGGCCTCATAAGTCTTGTTCTCCAAATAAAGATCATAAGATGTGCAGAAATCCATATTTTTCACACTCAAACACATTAAAATGTACTTAGCTAATACCAGACAGATTACCAATAATTAGTATTAGGTGTGTCCTACAAAGATGCCAAGAAAGAAAGCAAAAGCATTTTTTCCAAAGCAAACTACTTTTATTGCTACTTGGTGCTCTATGCTGCTAGTGGAAGATGACAATTAAAATGACCAGATTTAATTTTTAAGCTCCTGTTTCAAACCACTAAAGGAAAAAAAAACTTGTTAAAAAAAGTACTATAGTATGGAGTCACATCATACATATGACAAATTGTAAAATGTCTTTCTTCACAAATATTAAACTCCTGAAGACACAGACATAGGCAAGGACTTCCTGAATTTAGAAATCCAATAACAAGATATAATACCAAGTATCAACAAACAGGATTATATTAAATTAAAAAGCTGCACAGCAAAAGAAACAATCAACAAAGTGAAGAGATGACCTACAGAATGGGAAAAAAATTTAAATTTTGCCAGTGACTCCTCAGACAGAGGTATAATATCTAGAATATAAAAAGAACTCAAAAAAAAAGATCCATTCAAAAATGGGCAAACTGAAATGAATAGACACTTCTCAGAAGTAGAAGTGAACAATAAGTACATGAAAAAATGTTCAGGATCTGAGGCCATTTGAGAATTACAAATCAAAACAACATTGAGATTCCATCTTACTACAGTCACCATGGATACTATCAAGAATGCAACAAACAACAAATGCTGGTGAGGTTGTGGGGAAAACGGATCCCTTCTACCTTGTTGTAGAATTAGTACAACCACAATGGAAATCGTTATGAACAGTCCTTAAAAAACCACTAAAAGTAGAAACTGCATTTTATTCAGGTATATCTCTTTTGGGTATCACCCCAAAAGAGTTAAAGGTATCATGTTACAGTGACACATTCCCATGTTTATAGCAGCAAACCTCACCTTTGCTAAATCATGGAAGTGGTCTACGTGCCCATCAACAGATGAACGCATAAAGAAAATGTGGTATATATACACAATAGAATAGTAACTATTCAGCCACACAGGATAAATTTGAGTCATCTGTAGGAAAATGGATAGATTTTGAGACAATAATAACAAGTTAAATAAATCAGACAGAAAAAGTTAAATATTGCATGGTTTCTGTAATATAAGACACACAAAATATAAATAATTTAAAGAGCAAAATAAAAGAGAGATGTGGGAAAAAAGAAAGTAGATTCTGCAGAGATGGGAACAGGGTCTGGTGAAGGAGAGAGAGGCAAGGGTGGGAAAGAGGAGGAGTAACAATTATCGAGATGCTATATGTATACGTACCAACTCTCCAAGGTGAATGTAATTCTGTTTTGCAAACATACACTAATAAAAAATTAAAATAAACTATAGATGGAGTTACATCATACAAATGACAAATTGTAAAATGTCTTTTCACAAAGTCAAAGAAAGCCTTGCTTATCAAAGCTATGATTTTAGAGAAAGCATAGAAAGCATACAGACATTTATTAAGAACAAAAAAGCCTTTAAAAAAAGAGTCAGAAAAGTTTAAAGTATCTAGAGACAATCCGAACTGGCTAGTAGAAAACATAGTGGACAAGAACTTTGGTAACCAAATTAAGTCTTTTAAAAAAATGAGCCAAAACAGTGGTTCTTCGTTAATAATAGCATTTGGAAAAAGCAAAGAAGGAAACAGTCACTTTTGAGGGTGTATTATAAAATATTTAAAAAGACACAAAAACTGAAAATAAAAAAGAATACAGAAAAACATATACATCAAATACTTATACTTCCATAGGCAAAACTTAACTATTAATGTAAATAAAAACAAAAAAGCTAATAAGGTATGTTTCTACAGAAGTCAAATGTGTGCATGGGGTACTAGGATGGGAGGGAGATTCTTCATTGAATATGCCCTTTTGAGTCTTCTGAATTATGATTCAAGTAATATATTTCCCATACAAATAAAATTAGCATAACATCAGAAAAATAAATAATAACTATTTTCCTTTTTATAATACCTTGCATGTACATGGAACAGGAAAAATAATACCAATAAGAGAAATCCCCGAGATTGAACTAATAAAATACAGAACAAAGCAAAATAAACAAAAAAATCCAGAATAGCACTAAAAACAAAAATATTACCCAAATAGGGATCTAAAGGTTGTCAAGGGATTCATTTCAAAATTAACAATAAGCAAAAAAAGCCAAGTGACAGTAGTAAATTATTTCAACAAGGCCATGTGAAAATTATAGAAATGAGCCCCAAACTGTTAATGAGATGACATCTAGAATACCATCTAAATATAAATCCAGCTTTCTGAAATATCCCCTCTGTCAAAAAAAGACATAAATTAATAATTTATGTATTTATTTTGCATTCTAGTTACCTCTTACTCATTGGGCCAATTAAAAGGAAAAAATTAAGAAAAGAACCAAAATAGACATTTAATACTTTCCATGCTTCAAAGAGGAGTAAATACAATACAGTATAAACTTTTAGATTTAAGAAGTTGAAGGAAGCATCTTCACCCCAAAGAAAGGGACGGGGGAATAGATACCATGTAAACAGAAGTTCAAGATAGAATACACCTAATTAAGTTGAAATATTAATTCTTCACCCTTTGGTAAAATGGCAAAAGTTTTATCATACTAAGTGTGAAATAAAAAGCTCAACCAAAAAGTGGATTTGTATTTTATCCTCAAAGTTCCATGTATGCAAAAACCAATTTTAAACTGATAATATGAGAATTTATTGAAAGGGGCCAAGAAGTACTGAAATCCCACTTACCAACAAGTATATTGTTGATATAAACTGGCTGTATAAAGTGACTCAGCAATGCTCCCTGTACACCAAGAACTTCCCATCTTGTCAACTTGTCACTTGCAGACATACTGTTTACTTTATTAACAACGGTTGAGGGACAGTAAACAGGAAGATAAATTTTGCCTCCAACAGCCACATGCAGACTCAGTTCTTCATTGGCTTCAAATGCAGATACAGAATTTGGATTAAGATGCCTAGGGAAAGAAAAAATGGAACTTCTTCTTTTAAAAAATATAATCGACAACACATGTACCCACTATTGTCCTCTACCATGTTTAATTTCATAGTACAGTATACATTTAATTCCAGTTAACAGAAACAGATGCAAATACAAAGCAACATAGGATGGACTATTTCAAACATTAACATAAAACAGAAAGCAGTCATATTTACAACTCCATCACAGATAATTTCAGTATTTTACCACTGTTTATTTCTCTTAAAAATAAAATGAAAAACTCATTTTGTCCTTATTATAACTTGTAAATTATTTCCCTCCTCTGTGTGAAAATTTTTAAAACTACAAAATGATGAAATGGAAAAAAGACAAAAACTAGCAGTTTTTATTTAATGTTCACCCCCCAAAAATGTTAAAATAATAAAAACTAAAATTATTTTTCTTGAAAATCTTCTTTAGGAAATATTTCTATTTTTGAAAGTATTATTAGAAAAATTTTAATCAAAATAGTACCTATGGTTCTCTCTAAAAGGTCAGACTTGAAGTGAATTTTACTTTCTTCTTTGTGTATTTACTTATTTGTATTGTTTAAATTTTATACTACATGATACTACTTATTCTTCTAAACAATGAAGTTTTGGTCATAAATATGAACAGTGCATACAGCAATGCTTCCATAAAGTTTGTGAAATCTTAAAAGTAGAAAGAAGATTTACAATAGCATAGAAAAGAAAGTGGTATAATACATGGGATTTTTAAGAAGTAGTCATGGATCACATTGAGTGGAGTGCAAGGGGAAAGGATTTGTGGTGCCCTACATGCTATGAACAACAACTCACAGCTGAAGGGGGAATTTGGATATATATACATTTTTTGTTCTATTTGCTATATGGATTCAGAATATATGCAAAGATCAACCTGTTGCCTTTAAAAATAGCTTCCATAATACTTACAACTGTGACTTAATCTGGGCTGATCCTTTAGGCAACTGGTTCATATAGAGGTAAATGTTGATGTCTTGTTTCAGAGTAAGAAGATCAGAAGCTGGTTCTGTACAAAATATTGATTTTTCCATCATGATAGGATTTTTGCTATAGAAGAGTAGAAGCTGTCTATAAAAGTACCTAAAATAAATGTTATAATAAAACATATTAAAATGCATCTTAATGGGCATGACATCCATGTGTCATGAGCAATGTCTATGTCTATGTAAAAAATTTTGATATTGATGAGAACTTATAAAATAATATAGGCTTATTTAATGAATAATCAAATCTTTCAAGAAGACCTCAACTAGAGGCCAGTCTCCCCTTAAGATCAGCCTTAAGACACCACTGCTTGACTACTACTCCACTTTTATTTCGTATTTAAGTCTTTAACTATCATACCCTACCAAAAGACCCATTTCTCTACTGGCTCATCCCTTCTTCCTCAGGTAGTTGTACTCCCAGCCTCCCAGGTGCAAAGCCAGCTTTTCCCTTAATTTTATGCCTCCTCCCCATCCAAGCAAACAAATTGCCAGTAATACATCAACAATAATGCCATCATCATCAAGAGTGGCTCCTGTTTCTTAGTGGTTTTAAAGAAAAAAAAAATGAAGTGCATGGAAGCAATGTAATAAACACAAACTGTATTAAGAAGTGAAGCAGATCTGCTGAAAGACTACAACTAATCAATTCAGGGACAAACATTGCTTTGCTCATTTAAAGAAAACATGACTAAGATTCATTCTATTCACTCTCATCAACAAAAATATGTAATAAAAAATTAAATATCAATATATAAATGTGTCAAACAGTGGAAGAAATAAATATAAAGGAGGTAGCTTTAAAGAGGTCAAATAATTCTATTAGTACCAAGGAGGATGGGAAGAAAATGAATTGTAGTATACGTACAGACTACTCCAATAACTTTTTTTTTAGATTTTAGGATTCTTTCCTTATTATTAGAGATCAGGTAAAATGTCAAAATCTGTTTTTAGGGCTGGAGATTTAGCTCAGTGGTTCTGGCGCCTGCCTCGCAAGCACAAGATCCCGAGTTCGATCCCCAGTACCAAAAAAAAAAATAAAATCTGTTTTTAAATGCTCCAACAAAGAAAACATTAACAACAAAAAGTGGCAATACAGAGATTAAACAAAAAGAATAGAGTAGTGATAATCACTGAAGCTGGATGATGAAATTTATTATCCTATTCCCAGTTGCATTTGAAAATTTCCATAAGAAGTATGATTAAAAGTAAGCTCAATGGCTTAACAGAAACAAAAGCAAGTGGATATTGTAGAAGATAACATTCACTTCCCACAGTTTATATTTTCATAAGGAGGGACTGTCAAAGACTGCCAAAGAGTAACATTCCTATTTTTTTCTCTTAACTGCTACTAATTCTTCTTGCAAAAAGCAGAGTGATAGATGAGTTTGGAGAAAGTAACTAGGCATGCTTACCTCAGCCCTTTTTTTTTTCTCTTTAATATCTGTCAGACTGAAGAATATCTTATTGACACTCTGCTGTATGACAAACCATACCCATGGACATCACAAATGGAAACGTCAGTTTCTAATGCTGTCTTTAAATAATTATATCTAATTCAGAGGTGAAAAATGATCAAGCTTACTTGGTGCAAATCTAAAGCTACATTTTCCAATAACTTCAGCCAGTAAAAAAAAAAAAAAGATGGTCTCTCTATCTTGAATAAAACTGTAAGACTCTTAGAACTTAGTTTATAAGCACTTAATAATGGAAGGTGTTAATATTGACACACTAGACACTTAAGTTACTACTATGTTTCCAAAGGTAACATGAAAATAATTGGATGAACTGGATGAATAAGAGACTGTCATAACCTTGGTTCAAGGAACAGTAAAATTCTATTTATAAATAAAACCATTCATATGTGGACTTTGGACTGGAAGCATTACTTTTTGATGGCATTAAATGTACTTGTTACCTTACCTAAGGAGAGATCTTCTTGCTGTAACAACACCATGAGTGTCATGTAACACTCTTCCATATGGCTTGATACACTGGTTGCAATTGTATTCACCTGTGCCTACAGCTACAACTTCATGATGTCCAGCTGGAAAAAAAAAAAAAGAGGTAAGCAGTAGCAAGCTATTGTAACCCTCTTTCTTATATTCTAATCCCACTATCCCATCATTTTTAATTGGGTAACATGTATTGACCAAAGAGATGGATATATAATTCCACAATTTCAAATAAGATTATTTCAAGAACCAATTTTTAAAAAGCAGTATCTCGGGTTGGGGATTTAGCTCAGTGGTTCCGCCACCTGCCCCACAAGCACAGGGACCTGAGTTCGATTCTCAGTACCAAAAAAAAGTAGTATCTCAATTAGAAAGGCAAGCTGTCTTTTACACTGGTGCTTTATTTAATTTTTAGCACAATCAAGAGAATCACCATATATCCTTGGCTTTTAAATACACAACTATTTCTTACACATTTAGATTTATCTGACCTTCTAAGAGATTTCATTAAGACATGGACTCATGAGAAACAGAAAAAAGACTAAACAGCTGGGAGTGGTGGTGTACACCTTTAATCCCAATATGTGGGAAGCTGAGGCAGGAGGATTGCTGTGAGTCAGAGGCCAGAAAGGGATATATAGTGAGTTCAAGAGAACCCTAAACTACATAGGGAGAACCTGTCTCAAAAAGCAAAAACAAAGAAAAAACACTAAATAAACAATACACGCTTCTAAGTGCTTTGAAAAAAACAATTATGAAGATGAGAAGAATGCAAACAGGTTACTTCATGCACATTAGTTTCAGAATTTTTTCCAAATTAGCTGAAAGTCTCAGTGTGAAGAATAAGCAGTGTTAAGAATTTAGCTGCAATGTGAAGAGTGAGCAGCATGAGAAGGGAAAAGGTGTTCCAAGTAAAAAGAAACAGCATAAGCAGAGAAGAGAAACCAGTATAACTGCTCCAGTAAGTGGAATGAAAGAAATGTTTTCAGATAAGGTTAAAGAATATGTACATTCTACTATGCTCTAATATATAATCTAATATATAATTATATATAATAATATAACGTGATTATATATTAATACACAGAGAGAGAGAGAGAGAGAGAGAGAGAGAAAGAGGAGTTTGTGGATTTTTACCGAGCACTACAGGAAAACTACCATAGGTAAGGGAGAAAAAACAATCTGGCATTATATTTCATGATCAGTCCTTTCTTTATAGCAAAGAAAAATTACTACGAAATGAAAAAATAAGCAATAGAATGGGAGACATTCATCTGCAAACCCTGTATCTAATAAGAGTTTAATATCCAACAACTTACTACTGTAAGAAAGATTAAAAGTTGGCAAAGGGTATATAAAAAGATGTTCACCATCACTCATCATTAGACAACTGTAAATCAAAACCACACTACAGTATTCTCACATTTGTTATAAGATGCTATCATTAAAAGGTCAAAAGATAAGTTTTCACAAGGTTGTGTATAACAGGTACCTTTATGGATTCTTGGGAAAAAAGTAAATTGTGATAGTCATTATGGATAACAGTATGGAGATTTTTCAAGAAAATAAAAATAGAACTGCAATCACATTTCTGGGTATACACACAGGGAAATGAAACTAAGATCCTGAAGAGATATCTGAAATCATGTTCACTGCTGCATTATTCACAAAAGCCAAACAACAGAAACCTGTGTTTGTCAATAGATGAATGGACAAGAAACTGCAATATATCCATGGTGGGCCATATCTATATTCCCAGCTACTCAAGAGGTGGAGGCAGGAGGATTACAAGTTTGAGCCTAGCCTGTGAAAATTAATGATGCAGTAAGACTATCTCAAAATAAAAAATAAAGTAAGGCCTAAGGATGTAGCTCACTGTGAAGGCCCTGGGTTTAATCTCCAGTACCACAAAACACACACACACACACACACACATATGTATTATATACACTGATATTTATATATACTGATATATCAGTATATATATATATATCCATTTATATATGCACTCGCACATATATATTCACAAATATCTCACTTTAAATATACTCATATAATAGAGATACTCCTCAGACTTTAAAAAGGAAATCTTGCCATTTGCAACATGGATAAACATGAATGATGATATGCTAAATGAAATAAGACAAACATAAAATGACAAATATTGCATGACCTTATATGCAGAATAGATAAAGATCAAGTATAGATTAAAAGAGGGGTTACTAGTGGTTAGGAAGTGGGAAAAATGGAGAGAAGTGGTTAAAGGGTTTAAACTTGCAGTTATATGAGTAAGTTCTCAAGACCTGATGTATAGCATGGTGAATAAAGTTAAAAATAATATACTGTATCTTAAAATTTATGGCCAATATCATGGAAGGAGCAGGGTGGAGGGCAAGTAAACCAGGAGAGTACTGGTGTGATATAAAGAGGTGTAGTAAAACTTTTATTTTTCTGGAAACTTGAGTAAATAGAGAACAAAATTCTCACTGGATTTTATACCATGCAGACAGTGGGTAGTACTGAGAAGAGTGGTTTCCAAGAAGTAGAAGAAAAAAACAACTAAATTGGAGTAAAGAGTAGATGCTGTAAACAATTTCTTCATGAAGGTTGATCACTAAATCAAGTACACAACAACTACTGATTTATGCTGGAGGGTGCCAAGAGTTTAAAGGAAGTTTGCTTTTATTTGTAAGACAGAAGTTTAGGAAGCCAGGCTTTATGGGCTACTGGAAAGATGACAGCAAATATACATTATTCAAGGAATCTGAGCACAGATTCTGCTTTCATCCCTATGATAGGGATATGGTCCTGAGAACACTGACTCTAACTCAATAACCTCTTCTTATGTGGAATGATACTATGTCATTGTAAATTCTGGAATGAAATAGTGATGTAAGCTCTGAGTTTTAAGGGGAAATATTACAGCAAGAATGCAGCATTCTCAACTGTTATTTGATCTGCAATGCTTCAGTGGGACGGTTAAGTTTAATAATACAGGGCAAAGAGGAGATAATCAAAAGAAGAAATTCATCAGGATGTGAGAGGGAAGTGAATTTGAACTTAAGTGAAAGAATTAAGTAATTAAGGAAGGGAGATCCTTGCTCTACTGTTACAGTACAGAAGGATACAAATGCAGGAAAATACATAGATTTGCTGGTGCGGGAGAGAAGGGCACTTAGATTTCACACCTTCTTACAGATGGAATTAAAAATGATGAATTAAGGTAGTAAAAGCTAATAATATTCTTTAAATACATATTGATTGTGTGTTACTCCAGGAATGTTCACAATTTCATTCAAGGGTTCCCAACCCACATTCATGCTCCCAATTTCTAAAACCACATGTATTATTCTTAGTCATAGTCTTTTCCACCTAACTTCAAATCCACTTGAAGAATCCCTATGTGTATACAAATGCTACTCAATATAAACTTTAAATGATGCTATTACTTTACTCATCTCTTTTATCTATCATTCATTCTCACCTTCATTTTATCATATCAATTTTTTAAAAATATAATTTATTTCCTTTCTGCTCATGTCCATCTAAAGTCTATAAACAGTCCATCAAAGCCACCTAAATGATGATTTTTTAATTTGGTTTCAAGTCCTATAATCTCTTTCTCTCAATTGTTACTTAAAAATTAACTTACCTTAATCACTGCAAACATAATTTATTAAACTTTTACTAAACTCCAAGTACTTTGCTAATTACTTTATCACATTTAATTCTAGAAATCCCATTACATAAGGGATATTGTTTCTATTATCTGTAGTTTTAAAAATGGAGAAGAAAATTGAAGCACAGACAAACTGAGTTTATAAATAGCCCAACATAATTTAAGCTGCAGAGCTGTCTGATGCTCATGTTCCAATAATTACAGTGCATTGCCATCCCTGTCTGAAACCTTTCATAGATTATCATCAATCTTACTAAACCTAAGTTTTGACTGGCTGATGAGGCACTTAATAATGTGTTACCATCTTATCAATCTAACTGTATTTTTATTGCTCCTGCAAATATATTACTGTGTACTAGTAATAAATTCATTTCCTCATTGTCCCAAAATTAGTTTTCCACTATTTCTCTTTTCTTATGCCTTCTTCTCTCCAAAAATGTTTTCCTTTCCTCTATGCACCAAAGCTTTATCAACACTTAAAATTTCAGCTTAAGTCTCATCTGTTTCAGAAGATTTAAACCCTATTATTTTTCTACTATCTGTGAATTTTTATGCATTTTTGCATTAAATAAAAGTGTTTCGTTTTCATCATCTGCTAGAAAAAAATCATTTCAAATCAGTATATCATTGTCAACAAAGGCAAAGATAGTTAACAAAAATATTACTATACTGTAGTTCAGATCATTAAGATACTAGTTTTTGTATAAACACATCCCAAATATTTGGACTTACCTCTTTCAACAATGAAAGCAGCCAATGAATTGGTACATTTCAGATATTCTGAGTGACTAGAAATTAGTTGATTAAATGTTTCTTTAACAGTCTGTGAGATCTTAGAATATTGGGCATGTCTCCAATCTAGAAAAAAAAATTTAAAAGGCAATATGAATTTGAGGAACACTGTGATTTTTTTCTAGTGAGTCTTATTATTAAAAACTTACAATAAAAGTAATGATTTATAGGGAAATCAAGACAATTTCTAAATTATGTCATGAATGAAATTTTAAAGTATTCAATTTTAAAGTATTTGCATAAAAGAATACAAGCTATTGGGCTTTTTGATAACATATTAAAAGGTATGCCAATATTATACACTATTGCTAGAGGACTACTGATTTACATTTGTGGAGTTTAGTCCGACAAGATACACAAAACTCATGAGACAAAAGATAATTCTTTGTTGTATATATTGTCCCACACATTGCAAGATGATCAACATCTCAATGAATGGCAGTAATTTCCCCAATCATTGTCACAATCAAAATACACTCCATTAATATCTGACCCACTGAAAAGCTCTGCAAACTACTAAGCATTTAGACTCTTCAAATAGTCTCAGGTGACCTAGAATAGCTAAAGCAATTCTTTTTCTTTTTTTTTTTGTTAAATTCCTTTATTGGTACATTTTAGGTATACAATACAATTACATTTCTCATTGGGAACTTGTACCTTTACATGATGCATCTTGGTTCTTATTTTTTCCCCATTCCTGGGCCTCCCTTCACCCGCTCCACCCTTCCCTATTTACAAAGACTTTATTTCCATTTTTTCCATTTCTCATCATTTTTCCTTTCCCTTCTTTCCTTTCTCCTGCCCCTCCCACTACCCCTACCCTTTGGAAGTTTTCTTCCTATTTTGCATTATCGATTATTCATTCTAATCATTGGTACATTTTAGGTATACAATATAATGATATTCATCATTGGAAATTTGCACCTTAACATAATCTCTCTTGGTTCTTATTTTTCACTCTTGTCCAGCCCTCCCTTCAACCCCTCCAGTCCTCCCTATTTACAAAGATTTTGTTCCTATTTTTCCATTTTCTCATATTAATCCC